ATAAGAATGTTGGCTAGTGTAAACTAATGTAGACGTGTAGTGTAGGAGCGGGGTTTAATATAAGAATGTTAGCTAGTGTAAACTAATGTAGACGTGTAGTGTAGGAGCGGGGTTTAATATAAGAATGTTAGCTAGTGTAAACTAATGTAGACGTGTAGTGTAGCAGCGGAGTTTAATATAAGAATGTTGGCTAGTGTAAACTAATGTAGACGTGTAGTGTGGCAGCGGGGTTTAATATAAGAATGTTGGCTAGTGTAAACTAATGTAGACGTGTAGTGTAGGAGCGGGGTTTAATATAAGAATGTTGGCTAGTGTAAACTAATGTAGACGTGTAGTGTAGGAGCGGGGTTTAATATAAGAATGTATCATATGGTAGTATGTCAGTATGGTAGTGAATAGTAGTAAACAATAATAATGCTAATAATAATGTCAATGAACGAATATTGCGCTCTGTGTAGCGTAGCAGCCCAACGGAGTTGGAGAGGAGGTTATGTTTTCGCTCTTGTGTGTTCGTGTGTTCGCGCGATCGATATTAGCACGGCGGTCGATCGATATCACCCAGCGAGCCAGCGAGGCAGCAAGTATGTCGCTGGCGGAGGTATGCACTCTCCGTGAGTGCACTCTGTCTAGTTTAATATAAGAATGTATGGTAGTGAATCACTAGGAAATGTAGTAAATAAAGAGGAGAGAGAGAGGAAGACTAAAGAGGAGACTAGACGGAATAGTAAATAACATAATAGTGTCAATAAACGATGAAGTCTCGCTGCGTGTGTCTATGTGTATTATATACAGCTGTTATACGGCTGGTTTTCTAGCCCCTCTACATACATACATACTCTATATACATAAACATGGATGTCTGGTTGTTTTAGCGTGGCACAGACACAGACGCGCGCAGAAATAGTTTGCGATTCCCAACGAAAACATTGCTCCTCGACAAAAATCTCCTTCTCAACTTTTCATTAATAGAAATGTCGCAGCATTTTTTTCCCTACTCGTGTTTTTTCTCTCTCGCCTGGTCGCCATTCGCGTGTTTATCGACCCGCGAGGTTTCCCCGGGGGGTGGGGGGAGGGAAGGTTTCCTCCTCCTCTTCTTCCTCTTCTCCTTTCTTCTCCTCATTTTCTTTCTCCTCTTCCTCTTCTTCTTCTTCCTCCTCCTCCGCCTCTTCTAATTCTAATGCCTGGCCGCCACTGGCATGTCAATTGTCGACCCGTGCTTTCCTGCGGGAGGAGGGGGTGTGATCACGTTGGGTTTCCTCCTCTTCCTCTTCTCCTTTCCTCTCCTGCGATTCTTCCTGAATTTCGTTCTCCTCTTCCTCTTATTCTTCCTCCTCCTCCTCCTCCTCCTCCTCCTCCTCCTCCTCCTCCTTCTCATCCTCCTCCGTGTTTTTTACGGCTGGTCACCATTTGTGTGTTATTTATCCATCCGCACTCGAAGAGGGAGTGGGTTTCTTTCAAACTGACCTGCGGGGGTCGTTATCGTGGGATGCTGCGCGCTCGCTCACCCGCATCCTTTCTTGGCTTCAGATTCTCTGCTGGAGGACGCTGCCCGTCGACGCATCCGTTCTCGGAAAAGTGGCCAAGTCGCAGGAGCCCTACTGTCGCCAGGTGAGTCAGCGCCCCCTACCCGTGCCGCCGCGCACGCGTTACCTCAGCGCCCCCTACCAGCGCCGCCGCCGCACGCGTTACCTCGGCGCCCCCTACCAGCGCCGACGCCACGTGCGTGTTATCTCAGCGCCCCCTACCCGTGCCGCCGCCGCGCGCGCGTTACCTCAGCGCCCCCTACCAGCACCGCCGCCGCGCGCGTTACCTCAGCGCCCCCTACCAGCGCCGACGCCACGTGCGTGTTACCTCAGCGCCCCCTACCAGCGCCGACGCCACGTGCGTGTTATCTCAGCGCCCCCTACCAGCGCCGAAGCCACGTGCGTGTTATCTCAGCACCCCCTACCCGTGCCGCCGCGCGCGCGTTACCTTAGCGCCCCCTACCAGCGCCGACACCACGTGCGTGTTACCTCAGCGCCCCCTACCTGTGCATGCCATTTGTGAGCGTTCACCCCTGGTGGTGGGTGAGTCGGCGCCACTGCCCCTGGTGTCGCCGCGTGCGCGTTATACTACCTCAGCGCCACCTACCCGTGGGTCGTTCATCATCGTGCGCCCCCTGGTGGCAGGTGTCGGCTGCAGCGACGGGGAACTGGTGGATATGCGTCGTTTGTTGGCTGCGAGGTGTCGCACGTCGCGCCGTGGCGTGTTTTGCCGTTACGCGGCCCCGCCACGCCGTGGCGTGTCATTGCGTCCCGCGTCGTGTTGTTATGTCGTGCATCATGTCAGGACTTGAAGCGTCGTGTTGTCACGACGCATGGTCATGTTGTCGACTATAGCTCATCGCGTTCTTGCTGGTTGTTTTCTCCGTTTGGGTCTCGCGCTCGCAGCAGAGCTTTGGATGACAGTACACCTATATGCTATACTATATAGTGCTATATATACATACTATATATATACTATACTATATATACATACATATATACATACATATATACATACATACATATATATACATACATATACATACATACATATACATACTATATATACATACTATATATATACTATACTATATATACATACATATATACATACATACATATATATNTAGTAGTAGTAGTAGTACTAGTAGTAGTACTAGTGTCAGTGGTGACTAGTGAGTAGTGTAGTACTAGTAGTATTAGTAAGTAGTAACAGTTCACTCCACTCCTCGACGAATAGATACAAATTACAATAATGTATCCCAACAAGAGTAGGCTTACAAGTAATGGTACAACGCGAGCCTATTCTTTTCTTTGGAGGAGCCCATGAGTGATTCACTTAGGGCGGTTTTACGGTGCGGTTTTCGAGACTACAACTTCCAAACTGGGTTTATTCTAACGACGTGGATATTCGTCCGAGCATCGGACACCTGTTCGTATGCGCTATTCGTCCGAGCAGTTGTTGCGCATGTGCTGTTCATGTTGCATGCCGCAGGCGCACGGCACGAGTGCCGTAGGTAGGAAGTGTGAAGGGGGGGTCTGGGGCGTCTCCCCCCAGACAATTTTTAAATCTAGATGCTCTAAAATGCTATTTACCCTTTAGATTTTTGATTATTTTATGCCCTTTAGGCTGGGGGCCCGTAGCGTTTTGCTACGGCAGCCCTACGGCTGTGACGCCCTTGCATACATGCGTTGCGTATGTGGTTATACACCATAGATAGTGTTTGGTACTATCACTCGCATATATATACGAAACCGAGCGTATAATAAGAGAACCGAGTCGGTTTATAGTTAGTGTTAGGGTTAGGGCTGGGGTTAGGATTGTAGGGAAGCGGCAGGTGTAAGAAAGCGTTGCGTCGCTATACACCTAGCGTCTCCACCCGTAGCTTCTCTACACATGACCTTTCCATACGTGGCGCACACTTTGATCTTAGCCAAAAAGGCCTGTCCATACGTGGCGCACACTTTGGCAATGTCCCGGCGGTCTGATTCAGCCTCGCCGCGCGGCGCAAGCCACCAATATAACACCTTTAATATGTGGCGCTCGCGCGCGAGGCGCGGCCCAGTAGCCTAGATAACTTTACGAGCTTGGTGACAAAAGGGCAGTGAGGAGCACACTTGGCTCTGATCCGTTGACCCGACCAGTCGCATTGTCATCCCTCTCCGTTTGTCCTCCTTGCCTTGCATACGAGCCACACTATTGCCTGGTTTAGGTCCTCCCCTTCGCCGTCACCCCAGTTAAGCCTTTCCGAGAACCACCGTGCTAAGGTACGAATACTATTGTAATATTCTGTCGTATATTGATATTCTGTCGTATATTGATATTCTGTCGTATTGTAGTATTTTGTCGGATAAGAGAATGACCTACGAGTAGCTTGCATAATACGGTGTTCATGTTATTCTATCTGAGTGATCTATCGTGGACTGTCGGCGCAACCTGTTACTACCCCTATAAGAAACGGGTGCCACTAGCGCACTCACTAAACCGTAGAGCCTGCGGTAGCGGGAGCAAATCCCCTCGCTTAGAGGATTAGGGTTAGGGTTAGAGAGTAGGCGTGGTTATAGGCAGTAGGCGCCTCCCTAGACTAGCATTATATTACATTTATGTAATGCAACATGAACAGCGCATGCGCAACAACAGCTCGGACGAATAGCGCATACGAACAGGTGTCCGATGCTCGGACGAATATCCACGTCCTTATTCTAAACACGAACCTTTCTCCGCTATCCTGGGACTTACTATGTATCACAATACTCTGTATTAAACTATTATAACCTGTTGCAAAATTTCGAAGTGACGAGCGGCGATATTTCGAGCGCCATTGGTGTTGCAGATTCCCAATGTGCATAGCGTACGGCTGCAAGATCGAATGTATCATGGGATGCCTGCTGTCAGTCATGACGTCATGACGAAGTTAGCTGAACGCTATGCGCATTGGGAATCTGTACGTCACAGGTCGAATGCGTATAGCGGGGTATCCCGCGGTCGCGTGCGCCCAGTCCCGCGGAAGTGCGCGGCTNAGGCCCAGATCCCTCTCCCTCCACAATTCATGGGCCGGACTCATATACCGATTTTGCTAGAGCTTATTTCCGTCATACTGCAGCGGCAAGCGTTATATCCGTCATTTTCAGTTGCACTGTACCAAAATTGTGCACCTGATTGTTCGCTAATTGTTTCGCTTGGAACAGGGCCAACGTTATTGGTTTTTTCCAGGCATATTATGTATTCTGGCATGTCTACGTAAATGGGAGCAACAAAGCCCTAGTCAGATCAGAGCGCTGTGCAAGGTGTCGCGTAGTTTGTCCTGCTAATTAGACAAGGGTTTGATGGGTTGAAGGTCTAAGGGTTTGAGATAGGTGTTATCAAACGATGAGAATATGGCCGAACAGTCATGCTTAGATTGCAGGAAAATTGGCTTAAACTATTTCAAAATTTACTGGGGGGGCCTTCTGCGGCAGCCAATGTACATTTCGGGGCCAGTGGCAGCACCCGCCCCGCGTCCATCAATTTCTGAATACGCCACAGTTACTGATCAATCGCGGGGAACATTCCGGCATGGATTTTGGAGTTGCATAGGGATTGGAGATCCCTGCTAATGGATTGTTTTCTAGTTATCTTTTAATACAGAGTTAATATGTGTGGACTCTGCAGTCTACCAGGTCCAAAATACGCCTTTCTCTCCTCTCCTCGGCCGCCTCTCTCTCTCATCCTGCGCTGCCACCCTCTCTCTCTCTTCCGTCTCGATCCTACCTCACTCTCGTCTCTCGGCGTCTCTCCGTGATTTCTACTCTCCCCCCTCTCTACCCACCTGGCTCTTCCTCTTCTCTCTGCTACCCCATCTCTCTCTCTCTCATCCGTCTCTACCCACTGTGTGCGGTCTCGTCCTCTCTCTTCTCTCTCTCTCTCTCATCTCTCTCTCTCTCCTTATCTCTCTCTCTCCGGCTCTCCGCTCTGCGTCGCTCCGGTCTCTCGATCTCTACCGCACTCTCGTCTCTCTCGTGCTCCCCGGTTTACGTCATAGTTTATTGCGGCAATGAAGGAGGAGGCAGGAGGGGAGGGGTGGAAAGAGAGGTGAAAGAGGAGGGTGGAGAGAGAGGGGAGGGTGTGGCAATAGAGGAGGCAGGAGGAGAGAGAAGGGAGGTGGTAGAGAGGAGGGGAGGGGTGGAGAGAGGAGGCAGGAGGAGAGAGGAGGGGAGGGGTGGAGAGAGAGGGGAGGGGTGGTAGCGAGGAGGGGAGGTGGAGAGAGGCAGGCAAGGCGGAGAGGAGGGGAGGGTTGGAAGAGGAGGCAAGCGAGGGAGAGGAGGGGAGGGGTGCGAAGAGGAGGATGGCAGGAGGGTGCGAGAGAAGCGAGGCAGGAGAGAGAAGTGGGAGGTGGCGGAGAGGAGGGGAAGGTCGGGGAGAGGAGGGAGGCTGGAAGAGAGAAAGGGCAAGGGGTGAGAGAGAGGCAGGGAGTGATGAGAGAGTGCAGAGAGAAGGGGAGGGGTGGAGAGAGGAGGAAAGGGGAGGAGAGAGGAGGCAAGGGTGTGATGTACGACAGGTGAGATGTATCTAGACAGACAACATGTTCATTATGCAGGGGTAGAAATTAACTTTTAAACAAGGGGGAGTCCCTGCTCTCAAAAAGGTCCGCAGTCTGAGGTTATTTTGAAGATTCATGCGGTTGCACGTCTGCCAAATTTTCTTTGGACATTTGCTGAAAAAATACGGTAATTCCATGAGGCCGTGCTCTGGAATGAACTAGTTAGTATGGAAGAATTTTCAGGGAGTCACACGGACTCCTGCATATGTCAAATGAGGCAGCAGCATATGTGTAGGCAGCTAGCACTCTACAGTGTGATTAAGTTTGTGGGTAGTTGATCAGTCCATGATTATGCCACAGGGGTGACACCCCGGGGGTCTTGTACATTTACTGCCAGGCACGTTCTATTATGACCAACCACGACTGTGACAGAAACAGCAATAATAGGTTTTTAACACCAGCAATTCCAATAGTATTTACAAACAATCCACGAAGATACAGTCTAATCATAGCTAGGTGCTACCGCGTTTGTTATATGTACGCCTATATACCTATGAGCCTGTTTGATTCGTGAACGTCGTTCAAGTCTATATATGGGCGCTGTGGCTTCTTTCTCGTCACGAGTCGGGTGCGTAGGCGCGTCACCCGCATGCTATCTTAGAATCTCGCCGCTTGCCTAGCTGGCCTGGTTGGTAGCGTCCGCGTGCGGAACCGTGGGCTGCTTCCACGGGCTTTTTAACCCCCGAGACGCAGATCAGGGGATCGTGTCTCGGTGTGGTTGCCCGGAAATTTTGTTAGGTTTTTTTATCAGCTTATATATATAATTGATGGTAGCAATTTAAAACTCGGTGAAGGTGGTGGGAAATGGATTCTACGCGCACGGCGTGCGTGATATTTAAACGTTGTGTATATAAATGCCACACGGCCTGATGTATATACACGTGCCTTGACGTTGTGATTCCACCAGCTGTGTCGACACACGCAATAACGGCGACGTGAAGCGTCATAGCGTATATGAAACACGGGGCGCGTATACGTAGTGCCGTCTGTCGTCTGTGCCTCAGGATGTTCTGAATTTTAATGCTGTATTATTATCATATACGCAATGTACTGTGTAATTTATTGACAATATAGTGAGGAGGATATTCAAGGTAATTGTGCGTGTGGAGAGAGAGGAGAAAGCGTGAGTGAGATTTAGTGAGTGAGAATTAGTAATTGTAGATAGATTTAGTTGTACATAGAAGCAGGGTTTGGCGTTTAGCATACAGATGAGAAATGTCAGCAATTCAGAGAGTCGGACAAGTGTGATTTCAATACTACATCATTACGTAATAAACAACAAACAATACGTCTGATCTTGTAAGTAACATTGACTGTTTGTACTATTGATAAGCGATTAATGACGTCGTTGCATGCTTTTGTATTCTCCTTGCCTTTCTCTCGTTCTCTCTCTGCCTCTCTACCCCTCGCTTTCCTCTCTCCCCGCTCTCTCCTCTCATCTCTCATCTTCGCCTTCTCCCTCTCTCCTCTCATCTCTCTTCTTTGCCTTCTCCCTCTCTCTCGCTCTCGTCCCTCTCCTCTCTCTTCTTCGCCTTCTCCCTCTCTCCCCTCTCGTCTCTCTTCTTCGCCTTCTCTCTCCTCTCATCTCTCTCGCTCTCTCTGCCTCTCTACCCCTCCCTCTCTCCTCTCCCCTCTCTTCTTTGCCTTCTCCCTCTCTCTCTCTTCTTCTCCCTCTCTCCCCTCTCATCTCTCTTCTTCGCCTTCTCCCTCTCCCTCTCTCTGCCTCTCTACCCCTCGCTCTCTCATCTCTCTTCTTCGCCTTCTCCGTCTCTCTCCTCTCGTCTCTCTTCTTCGCCTTCTCTCCTTCTCCCTCTCTCCCCCCTCGTCCCTCTCTCCTCTCCTCTCTCTTCTTCGCCTTCTCCGTCTCTCTCCTCCCTCTCTCTCCTCTTCGCCTTCTCCGTCTCTCTCCTCTCATCTCTCTTCTTCGCCTTCTCCCTCTCTCCCCCCTCGTCCCTCTCTCCTCTCCTCTCTCTTCTCCGCCTTCTCTCTCCTCTCATCTCTCTTCTCCTCTCTCTCTCTCTCTGTCTCTCTACCCCTCGCTCTTCTCTCATCTTCGCCTTCTCCCTCTCTCCTCTCATCTCTCTTCTTTGCCTTCTCCCTCTCTCTCGCTCTCTCCTCTCCCCTCTCTTCTTTGCCTTCTCCCTCTCTCTCTCTCTCTTCTTCTCCCTCTCTCCCCTCTCATCTCTCTTCTTCGACTTCTCCCTCTCTTCTCCTCCCTCTCTACCCCTCGCTCTCTCATCTCTCTTCTTCGCCTTCTCCCTCTCTCCTCTCTCTCTTCTTC